GCGGCAGAGGGGGCCCTGCGAGGACCCACTAGTGGGGCGGGGTCCGGGTCACCGCGAGTGGGAGACTCCACCGCCCTCCCCGCCCTCCCTGGCAGCGAGACAGCTTCGCCAGACCCACCGAGGGGACTGCGCGGACCCTCGGATGACGGGGTCCGTGACTCTGGGTGGGGGCTCTTTCCCGTCCCCGCATGACGGCTTCCTGAGTGTTTTGTCACCTATAGGTCCTTGCGTGGACCCGTGCGCGTGGGTCCTGGCCGCCCTGCTAGTGGGGCTGTGCGCCGCCCGGTGGCTCGTCTGGGTCGACCCCGCCTGGGACGCGCGTGTAGTGGGGGTCCGTGCCCTGGGGGCGCGGTTGGTTGGGGGCGCACTGCCCCCGCCCCGTGATTTATCCTCTCACTTGCCCGGCGGGAGGAAGTGAGAGGCGCGGGCCCGGAGCTGTCGCGCAGCGGCCGCACCCACCTCTGCCCTGGCCGGCGGGTCCTGGGGGGCGAGGGGGTGTCACCGCGCGTCCCACCGCCGCGCTTCCTGCTCTGGCCCCGGGCTGGGCTCTGATTGGAGGGAGCAGGGCCCTTCTGCCCGGCGCTTCTTGGTTTCTTCCGTTAGTAATGGGGAGGAAAAAATCTGGAAAGCCGGATTGAACTTTGCAGCTCTCAGTCCCAAGAATTTGGCGGGCTGGAAAATGAGTTTCAAGCAGGAGCATCCACACCCACGGAATGAGGCCAAGGCAGTTACAGTTAGAGGTCAGATTTATGAGGGGAGAGCGAGGGTGAGGTCCGTGGGTGGGGAGACTTCGACCTCAGCTTGATGGGAAGACCTGAATCTGCCCTCAGACGCTGTATTTCTCAGCCACCAAAGAAAATGGAATCACTCCTTAGTGAATGCTTTCATCAAACCTTTGAAAAACCTGTAGTGTCCCAGGAAGCAAAATCAAACTGGACAGTTTTCCCCTTTTAAGAGTGATAAACGTCCTGGAGACAAACAGCAGAAGGCTCAAGGAGTCCAAATACTCAACCTGAAGTTCTTTCTGAACAAGAGATGGTGTATAAGTAACAGGCATACAAGACAAAACTGAACTAATCACCGCAGCTGTGGCTCCTAGCCCTGTAGCGTGTCATGCAGGCCCTTTTGCCTTCTCTGCCCTCCGCTGTCCCAGACCCCAACACTAACGCCCACCTCCAGTCATCAGCTCCTGCCGACGCATTGCTATGAACTGTGTTTCGGTGGCTCCCTTCTCTCTAAAGTTTTGCTTGTTCTCCTGAAGTCCTGGTCTTTAAGAGCTTATGATCTGCAGGGACAGATTGGCTTTGGGCAGTACATAGTTAACTGTAGCACAGCTTGAAAAATGCTCTGATAGAGGTGGGCAGGCAGTTTGTACATGCGGGTAAATGCGAGGTCCTTTTTCAATACCATGAATCCAAGTATTCATGCTATTTTAAATCTACAATTCTTTGACTCTCCAGAGGGTTTTTGGATTAATTTTTTTTTTCTATTACTTCCTAGTGTTTGTTGCATAGTTCAGAGTACTTGATTAAAACTTACCAGGTCGGCCGGGCGCAGTGGCTCACGCCTGTAATCCCAGGACTTTGGGAGGTCTAGGCAGGCGGATCACTTGAGGTCAGGAGTTCGAGACCAACCTGGCCAACATGGTGAAACCCAGTCTCTACTAAAAATACAAAAATTAGTTGGGCGTAGTGGTGTGCGCCTGTAATCGCAGCTACTCAGGAGGCTAAGGCAGGAGAATAGCTTGAACCCAGGAGGCGGAGGTTGCAGTGAGTTGAAATGGCTCCACTGCACTCCAGCCTGGGCCATAGAGTGAGACTTCGTCTCAAAACAGAAACAATGTGCTGGGTCTACCTCCGGCTCTAGAATTTTCCTGGAAGGCCTTCTCTTCTGGGCTTCATTTTTCTCACCTTTGAGGATCCTAAACTAGGTAATTTCCAATAATCTTTGCCCTACACCTTTAATTCTTTCAAGCAAATAGCAGAGTACAATTCTCTTCCCGGCAATGGTGTAAATAATGGAGGCCTTTGAAAATGTGGATTCTAAAGTGGAAGTTCTTTTTCTTCTTCCCCTTTTTTTCCCTTTTAAACAAGTTTAGTTACATGAGTATATTACTGTATCTCAGAGTTAAGGACAAGTATCTATGATGAAACCTTAAGAATATCTTGCATATTCTTCACAATTGTGTTTTATGTGCCACATCTTCACTATGTCCAGTTGGTTTGTTTTTTCTCATTAATGGAGTTGAGCTCAGAACTTTTCAGGAGCATTTTGTTGATCTTTTAAGTGTCATGTGAAATATGTTCCAATTTAACATTTTATTTTGTGGAGTAAAATGGGAGTAAATGGAAATTTGAGAGTGCCTTGAGTAGATGTACTTGGCTTTGTGTAATGGTTTGAAGAATAGTTTAAAATTACCACTTGTGGCCGGGTGTGGTGGCTCACACCTGTAATCCCAACACGTTGGGAGGGCGAGGCAGGCAGATCACGAGGTTAGAAGATGGAGACCATCCTGGTTAACATGGTGAAACCCCGTCTCCACTAAAAATACAAAAAATTAGCCGGGTGTGGTGACATACGCCTGTAGTCCCAGCTACTCAGGAGGCTGAGGCAGGAGAATCACTTGAACCCGGGAGGTAGAGGTTGCAGTGAGCCGAGATTGCACCACTGCATGCCAGCCTGGGTGACAGAGTGAGACTCCATCTCAAAAAAAAAAGAAAAAAAATACCACTTGTAAAAAATTGCATCACATGTTGAATGACCTATATAGGAGCTACAATTCTAAGGAATATGGTAATGAATTCTTTAAAATAGTAAGGCCAGGTGCTGTGGTTTACACCTGTAATGCCAGCACTTTGGGAGGCTGAGGTGCGAGGATCACTTGAGCCCAAGATTAGAGGCTGCAGTGAGCTATAATCATGCCACTGCACGCCAGTCTGTGTGATGGAGTGAAACCCTTTCTCTAAAAAATAAAAAGGTAAATAAATAATTTAAAAATAAAATGCTTAGCTCCTTTCCAATTTATCTGTTTGGTAAGGTGGGAATTTGATGTGCTTGAGTTTCTTAAAGCCACGTGTCTCTGTAGAAAGGAGACACAATTTTCTCTGCTATTCCTAGTTATTTGGATGATTATAGGGATTAAAAATAGCCATTTGGTCAAGTTGTGAGCTACTGAATTACAATTTTTGCTTCACTCAGTAGGATTTTGCCTTTATTTTGATTTGCATTCTTATCTTAATTTAGGAAAATATCTTTGTTATATACCCCACGCACTTTGTTCTTTTGGGGAATCTGATCTTAGGAGAGGGCTTCAAAATGTGACCAGATTTTCTTTATGGTTTTCTAGATTTTATTAATGTTTTAATAAAACAACTAGTTAATGCTGCTTCTGTGTCGAGGTATTTTTCATTTAGAGTAGGCTTGGTTTTTATGTGGATTAAATGAAAGGAAGTCTCTCACGGAAGGGGACACATGGGTATGGAGAAGACAGAGGGCATATATATATATATATATATTTTTTTTATTTTTATTTTTTATTTTTTATTTATTTATTTTTTTGAGACGGAGTCTCGCTGTGTCGCCCAGGCTGGAGTACAGTGGCCGGATCTCAGCTCACCGCAAGCACCACCTCTCGGGTTTACGCCATTCTCCTGCCTCAGCCTCCCGAGTAGCTGGGACTACAGGTGCCCGCCACCTCGCCCGGCTAGTTTTTTGTATTTTTTAGTAGAGACGGGGTTTCACTGTGTTAGCCAGGATGGTCTCGATCTCCTGACCTCGTGATCCGCCCGTCTCGGCCTCCCAAAGTGCTGGGATTACAGGCTTGAGCCACCGCGCCCGGCCTATTTTTTTTTTTTTTAGATGGAGTCTCGCTTTGTCCTCCAGGCTGGAGTGCAGTGGCAGGATCTCGACTCACTGCAAGCTCCGCCTCCTGGGTTCACACCATTCTCCTGCCTCAGCCTCCCAAGCAACTGGGACTACGGGCGCCTGCCACCACGCCCGCCTAATTTTTTGTATTTTTAGTAGAAACAGGGTTTCACTGTGCTAGCCAGGATGGTCTCCATCTCCTGACTTCATGATCCGCCCGCCTCGGCCTTCCAGAGTGCTGGGATTACAGGTGTGAGCCACTGTGCCTGGACGACAGAGGATGTATTTTTGAGCTCTACATTTCAGAGTTCTTTTCTCTAGCCCTGGCCAGGGTCCCAAACAGGAAACTTAATTCACTCTATCACTGAAGTATACTCTTGCTTTGATGCCATTGGTATGTTGTCCTAGAGATTTGCTGTGGCTGCTAGGAGTGTTTCATAGTTAAGAACTGATGCGACTTCTCTTTTGTCAGCTTATGAGTCTGTAAACCATCTTGTTTCCTTTAGCGTTATCTCCCTGGAACTGGAAGGTCAGAGATGAAGTTTTCTTAGATTATAAGTCTTAGTCTTTGCTATCTACCTTCCTCTGTCTCCCATGTCACCTTTTTTCCCCTGTTTTTCATTTTAATGTTTTTATTGGATAGGTGTCTATTATTGCAGGCTGCCTCAAAACATTTTTGGATATTGACAGGATATAAGTATGAATAATATGTAAAAGATAACTTACTCTAGTTCTTTTGAGCAGAGGATTTTGTTTCGATATGTGGCCCTATTAAAGCTTTTGTTAAGTTCAAGTACTTTCTGAACTTCAGTTCCCTTACCTGTAAAATGGAGTTAGTTATTAGTAATATCTTTTCTGCCTAACTCAGGAGATTGTTTTGAGGATCAAAGGAAATTATGAATTTAATGAAATTTTGTAAATTTTAAATGAAATATTGTATTACCTAAGAATTTTTTTTTTTAAACACCCTATTAAGAATGGAATGAATCTGGGTTTTCCTTTGAAATCCCAAATGTTTAATGTACAGAGAAGTTTTAATGTGTCTGTTGGGGAGCTTCATTAGGATTGTTTTCTATCTTTAATTGGCCAGTATTGTTTTATATTTTAGCATTTTTAGGGAACATCAAAATTTGTGTTTCAGTTATCATTAATATTTTACAAAGTTATTGAATGTGCATGATTTTGTCTTTAACAATCTCTTCAATTATTTACAGTCCCATGTAAAAAATGCAGTAATGAACGTCCATGTAAATAACATTCCCATGCTTTGATGAAGCATAATTTCTTGACATTGCAGTTTCTAAGTGCCCTGTCTTGAGGTTGGGAAAGCTAAAGGGCAGTCAGAAGACAAGGTCAGCAAAGTGTTACCTTTGACATTTGAAATCCAGCAGCAGGTATCACAGTGAACCCCATTCCAGCATCCAGGAAGTTTCTCTGCCCTGCCTCTCCTCCAGCCACCTCCGAATCTGTGTCTGTTGGTCCTGCTTTCCTCTCTCTCCTCTGCCTTTTCTTTCTCTTCAACAACTTCTACCGAGTGCCTCTGATGTCCCAGACAGTGGCAGTGGGAGTATAAAGGCTAATAAACCCGGCTCTGGTCCTCAAAGAATTTATGTTTTCTGTGCAGATATTAAGTTATACTGTCATATATAGTGTTGATAAACATTGATACAGATTTCCTGTGAAGTGCAGAAGCACCATCCTAGAAGCAGAGATGCAGAGGCAGCACTGGTGACTCACATATGGAGAGCTGGAGTTCTTGGTCTAGTGGGATAAACCGACGTGGACCTCATTTCAGTGCAGCGGAGTGAGTGCTGGGACGGGCTCCCTGGGGGCATCTGGGGCTGGGTTTGTCTGGTGTTTAGTCTCCTGCGTGGTACTTAGAGTTTATCAGTAAGATGAGCGTTGGGAGGTTTCTAAGTGAAAGGAAAGGCAATCACTTACCTGAAACCTAAAATCTGTAGGTATTCTGGGCCATTTATAATTCACTGAATCTGTTTTGTCAGAACAAGTCTATCATCTATTGTTTTGGATGGAGTGTGGCCAGCCCTGCCTTGCGATATAAGGAAACCAGGAAACGTTTGTCGGGTGTCAACACCATGCCAGACACTCTTCTAGGGGTTTCCACGTAAATCACTGTATTCATTTCTGTTGCTGCTTTACCACATTTCCACAAATTTCGTGGCTTAAAACAATTGAAATTGTATCATCTCACAGTTCTGTGGGGCAGAAGTCTGACGTGGGTGTCACTGGGCAAAAATCACCACGTGGGCTGGGCTGCATTCCTCACTGGAGAATTGTTTCCAAGTGCTTTTGGCCAAATAGAGTTCCTTGTGGTTGCAGGACTGAGGTGTCTGTTCCCTTGCTGGCCATCTGATGGGGGCTACCCTCAGCTCCTGAGGCCTCTATCTGGTCTTTGCACGTGGTCCCATCAGCTCAGGACTAGCTAGGCCAGGGACCTGGTTAGGCTCTCCAGTTCCCCTGTGTACATTTCTCTTTTTCCACTCGGAGAAAGTTCTATGCCCTTTTTAAAATATTTTTTCGAGATGGAGTCTCGCACTGTTGCCCAGGCTGGAGTGCAGTGGCATGATCTCAGCTCACTGCAACCTCCACCCTCCCAGATTTGAGTGATTCTCCTGCTTCAGCCTCCCGAGTAGCGGGGACTACAGGTGCCCGCCACGACGCCCGACTAATTTTTGTATTTTTAGTAGAGATGGGGTTTCACCATTTTAGCCAGGATGATCTCCATCTCTTGATCTCGTGATCCGCCAGCCTTGGTCTCCCAAAGTGTGGAGATTACAGGCGTGAGCCACCGCGCCTGGCCAGTTCTGTGCTCTTCGAGGCTCCTGGGATTAGATTGGACCTCCCTGGATAGCCCAGGATACTCCTCCTAAGGCCTGTGGCAAAGCCCTTTAGCTGTGTGACATAGTCACAGGTCTCGGGGGTTGGAATCTCCCACCACAGTTACCAATCCACTTACTACAGCAGCCTGGGAGGTGCTTTTTATTGCCTCTGGTTAACAGATACCAATTTTTTTTTTTTTTTTTTTTTTTTTTTTTTTACAAATTGGCAGGAACATGAAGATCCCTCTTTTTTTTTTTGTTTTTGAGACGGAGTCTCATTCTGTTGCCCGGGCTGGAGTGCAGTGACGTGATCTCGGCTTGCCAGAAGTTCCACCTCCCGGGTTCAAGCAGTTCTCCTGCCTCAGCCTCCTGAGTAACTGGGACTACAGGCACGTGCCACCAAGCCCGGCTAATTTTTGTATTTTTAGTAGAGATAGGGTTTCACTATGTTGGCCAGGCTGGTCACAAACTCCTGACCTCGTGATCCGCCCACCTTGGCCTCCCAAAGTGCTGGGATTACAGGCGTGAGCCACTGCACCCAGTCATGAAGATCCTTCTTAAATGAAAAAACCGTTCCTCTGACTTGATGTGAGGCTGTTGGTGAGACTGATAACAGTGGAGACAGGTCCATCAGAAACGGAGCTAAACTTTGTGTTCTGGAGTATTTTGATGGCCTGCCCTGATTATGTAAGTTTTGCTAAGAAGTCATTAGAGTAATTCCTCTACTGGAAGAAACACCCATATGGGGAATTTGGGACCTTGCCTTTTCAAGTTTTACACGAAGGACTCTTCATGGGTGAAAAGTACATGATTCCAGGTCCATTTCTAGAATGGAAACAGCTGCATCCACCCAACAGCGATTCACATTCCTGAGTTTGAGAGAATCCGATTGTTTCAAGGCTGAGGCCAAAAGCCCAATAAACAGTGTTTGTACCTTTGTTCATAGTTAGGAATTAGGTGCATCCCGTGGTCAAGAAAACAACTGATGGTGGTCACCAAGTAGTTTAAAACCAACCAGGACCTCATTTTATCATGTGGGTGTTTCTGATTTTTTTTTTTTTTTGAGACGGAGCCTCGCTCTGTCGCCCAGGCTGGAGTGCAGTGGCTGGATCTCAGCTCACTGCAAGCTCCGCCTCCCAGGTTTACGCCATTCTCCTGCCTCAGCCTCCCGAGTAGCTGGGACTACAGGCGCCCGCCACCTCGCCCGGCTAGTGTTTTGTATTTTTTAGTAGACGGGGTTTCACTGGGTTAGCCAGGATGGTCTCGATCTGCTGACCTCGTGATCCGCCCGTCTCGGCCTCCCAAAGTGCTGGGATTACAGGCTTGAGCCACCGCGCCCGGCCGTTTCTGATTTTTTTAATGAAGTTTTTATTTTGCTGTGCAATAAATGACAAGCTCTGACTTGAAATACATTTCCTTTAATAAACCAGAATCTAGGGCCGGGTGCGGTGGCTCACACCTGTAATCCCAGACTTTGGGAGGCCGAGGAGGGCAGATCACGAGGTCAGGAGATCGAGACCATCCTGGCTATGGTGAAACCCTGTCCCTACTAAAAATACAAAAAATTAGCCGGGCATGGTGGTGGGCGCCTGCAGTCCCAGCTACTCAGGAGGCTGAGGCAGGAGCCGAGATTACGCCACTGCACTCCACCCTGGACGACAAAGCGAGACTCTGAAAAAAAAAAAAAAAAAAAGAAACCAAAATCTATAATCCTAAGGTTTTTAACCTGTCAGAAATGCATGAAGTCCCCAAAATCCTGTGCAACAATTTTGTGTATATGCATCCAGGTGTGTTTATGGGGAGACGATTTATAGCTCTCCATACATTTTCAAAGTGGTTGGATTCCAAAAAATTTCAGAATACACACTTGGGCCTGGTGTGGTGGCTCACACCTGTAATCCCAGCACCTAGGGAGGCTGAGGCAGTAGGATCCACTGAGGTCAGGAGTTTAAGACCAGCAACATAGCGAGACCTCCACCTCTACCAAAAAAAAAAAAAAAAATGATGGATGTGGTGGTGCACACCTGTGGTTCTAGCTGCTCAGGAGGTTGATCACCTGATCCCAATAATTTGAGGCTGTAGTAAGTTAGAATTGCACCACGGCACTCCAGCCTGGGCAACAGAACGAGACCCTCTCTCAAACAAAAACAAAAACAAAAAACTGTGTCACTTAATATACTATTGTTGTTGGTCAAGTATCAGATTTTGTTTAAAAATTAAATAACTCATTTTTTTTTTTTTTTTTTTTGAGACGGAGTCTCGCTCTGTCGCCCAGGCTGGAGTGCAGTGGCGTGGTCTCAGCTCGCTGCAAGCTCCACCTCCCAGGTGCACACCATTCTCCTGCCTCAGCCTCCTGAGTAGCTGGGACTACAGGCGCCCGCCACCACGCCCGGCTAATATTTTGTATTTTTAGTAGAGATGGGGTTTCACCGTGTTAACCAGGATGCTCTCGATCTCCTGACCTCATGATCCGCCCACCTTGGCTTCCCAAAGTGCTGGGATTACAGGTAAATACTCATTTTTAGCAAAGGTGTACAGGCATACAGCTCCAAGAGTCAGAAATTAACAAGGCTTAGAACAAAGCCCAGCAGTCCCCTACTTTACCCTTCTCCACCCTGATCCATGCTCCTTGGAGGTTACTGTGTTTATGTTTTAGCTCGTTCTTCTAGATTGTGTGAAAGACAGGGAGATGTCCTACTGTGGAAGACAAGGATTCAGGTTGCTTACCCTCCCCGCTCCTCCTGTTGCCCACGTTTTTCTCCCCCATCCTCTCAGTATAATTATTGTGGTAGTGTGGCCAGGCATGGTGGCTCGTGACTTATCGCAGATTTTTGGAGGCCGAGGCAGGCAGATCACTTGAGGCCAGGAGTTGAAGGCCAGCCTGGCCAACATAGTGAAACCCCGTCTCTACTAAAAAATACAAAAATTAGTCAGTTGTAGTGTCGCATACCTGTAGTCCCAGCTACTCAGGAGGGTAAGGCACAAGAATTGCTTGAACCTACGAGGTGGAGGTTGCAGTGAGCTGAGATCGTACCACTATACTCCAACCTGGGCAACAGAGGTAGACTGTCTCAAAAAAAAATTATTGTGATAGTGGGATACATACAATATTGTGTCTATTTAGTATTCTTCCTGATTTTTGGCCCAGAGCTTCTAAAACCCTTGTAATTTCCTGAGTGATAGGAACATCATTGGTTATAATATTTGGTATTAGGTTTCAATACCTGACACAAGAGCTTCTAAGACTTTTGGAATCTCTGGGGTGATAGGAGTGTCTTTTGTATGATAATGAGATGACAGGTGGCTTCGGGCCCCTGGACAGGTTCAGGATTAGGGCTGGTTGCCAGAAAGATGAGTCATGAGTAAAGAGTTGGACATATCAGCCTCACCCCTACCTCTGGGAGGGGAGACGAGACAGGCTGGAGATTGAGCTAGTCACGGGTGGCCAATGACTTAATCATGTCTATGTTATGAAAGCTCCATAAAACCCTCTAAATATTGGGTTTGGAGAGCTTCTGGTTTGGTGAACTCATTTGGTGCTGGGGAGGTGGCACTTCCAGGGACGGCAGGGGAGCCCTGACCTCTCTGCCCCATGGTGTGCCCTGTGCATCTCTTGCATTTGGCTGTTCCCGTGTTCTCTTTTTTTTGAGACGGAGTCTCGCTCTGTCGCCCAGGCTGGAGTACAGTGGCCAGATCTCCGCTCACTGCAAGCTCCGCCTCCCGGGTTTACGCCATTCTCCTGCCTCAGCCTCCCGAGTAGCTGGGACTACAGGCGCCCGTTACCTCGCCCGGCTAGTTTTTATTGTTTAGTAGAGACGGGGTTTCACCGTGTTAGCCAGGATGGTCTCGATCTCCTGACCTCGTGATCCGCCCGTCTCGGCCTCCCAAAGTGCTGGGATTACAGGCTTGAGCCACCGCGCCCGGCCCCGTGTTCTCTTCTTTGTAATAAACCAGTAAGAGTGGGTAAGTGCCAAGCACTTTGCGTCTGTCACCTCTCTCACTTTTTCAGCAACACTGTGTGGCAGATAATGTCCTCATTTTCCCGGTGACAAAATGAGACTGATGCATTGAGTAACTTGCTCAAGGTCACGTAATAAGTGGAATTCAAGCTCTGACTTCGAAGCCTGTGCTTTTAACCAGCATGCTGCATACGCGGCCTCTTTGTTAGGAGTTTTGGTGTCTCTAGGGCCTGACACCAAGTTGACCGTTGTGGCCTGGAGCTGTTATAACGGAGCTTTTAGCGGCCCTGCTGAGAACAGAGCCAGCACGTCTGGATTGGCAGGGCAGGGGCTGTTCCTGCTGGGAGCTGCCCGCCACTCCCTGTGGCCCTTGGCTGATCTTGCTCATCCACTCCCTCCCTCATTCAGTAGTTCCTGAGTGCCGCCTCTGGGCGGAGGAGGAGGAGGCAGCCTTCCAGCCCAGGTGGGGCCTGCAGGTACACACAGGGAGAGGCAGCTGTGCACTGAGCTGGCTGTAGGCTGGGACTGTGGCTCCAGAGGTGGCAATAGAATGCTCTGGGACTGCAGAGGGAACACGTGCTTGTGAAAGGGAGGAAGGGGCAGGCACCGCAGAGGAGGTGTACTTGAGTTGGACTTTGAGGGAGGAGTTGGATTTCCACGGTGGAACCGAGCAGCTGAGGCTTTCTCAGCAGCTGAAGATTACAGCCAGCCAGCCTCAAATGCTCAGCTTTTCCTGAATTCCCTTTTTTAGGACAATGCAGTAAGTTTTCCACAGAGAAAAAGCAGTCACCTCCATGTCATTCATGTTCTGCAAATCCTGTGTGTAGTTTTCGATGCTTAGCAGATGGGGGCAGCCTGGGTCATAAGAGCCTGTGTGTCCACCTGTTGGGACACCAGTCAGGTGTGGCACAGGGCGGTGATCACTGCCTGCCCCTGAGGAACTCAGTGGTACTTTTATGTGGAGAGGACAAAGAAAGCTGTTGTACAGGGGGCAGGAGACGTTTCACCTGCAAAGCAAGGCACAAAATACATAGTCTGTGCCCTGCATGAGAAACCTAGCAGAACTGTGTGCTGATTCCCACCCCTGCCTCCCCTCCTGAGAGCGAACCGTCCATTGTACCATGGTGGAAGGCATTTCTGAAGCCTCTGCAATCGGAGTGATCTGTTACTTGCCCATTGAGCCTTGGGGGCAGCAACCAGGTGGTGTGGCTGAAACACAGGCCTTGGCCAGACCTGGTTGGGCATGTTGGTTCTGCCACTGATTGTGAATTACAGAACCTTGGAGAAGTCGTTGTCTTTGTCTGTGCCTCTCATGTAAGATGGGGAACACTGTGGCCATTGCAGAAGAGCAGACAGGTGGAGCGAGTATAAAGTGTTTTGTACGTGTGTGGCATACGGTGAATGAAATGGCACTGATTGACATTATTGATAGTAATAACAGGTTTCATTCAGGAATAAAACTGGTAAAGTAGGCCTGGCGCAGTGACTCATGCCTGTAATCCCAGCACTTCGGGAGGCTGAGGCGGGTGGATCACGAGGTCAGTAGTTTGAGACCAGCCTGGCCAACATGGGGAAACCCCATCTTTACTAAAAATACAAAAATTAGCTGGGTGTGGTGGTGCACGCCTGTAGTCCCAGCTACTTGGGAGGCCGAAGCAGGAGAATCGCTTGAACCTGGGAGGCGGAGGTTGCAGTGAGCTGAGATGGCGTCACTGCACTCCAGCCTAGGTGACAGAGTGAAACTCCATCTCAAAAAAAACCTGGTAAAGTATTTTACTCAGCCTAGGTACGTGTGGTAGAGCTGAATGAAAGAGCTTAGAAAAAGATGACTTGAGAACTAGCCCAGCAGAGGAATCAGGTGGGATGTGTTGTTAGTGAGTAAGTGAAATTTGCACCTGCTTTGTCCCAGGCCACGTTGAGTTGTGTACAACAGAGAGCTCAGGTGTTGGGGGCAGTTTACATTTAGCCAAAGGCACCGGTTGAAGAATGCATTGCTATTATGTGAGTAACACTGGGCTTTGAAAAAGCAGAACTGGAACCACGTTCTTGCCTGGTAACTCTTAACTGTCATCTAGTTTGTAAAGGGGAATACAGTTCACTGAAAAATTCTTGTGACAGTGGGGAAAGGATTGGGGTGTCTGCATTGCTTTGTGTAATATAGGTCATATGAAAGAGCATTTAGGCTGGAGGGAGACTTTTCGTCTCTATAACTTTACTTTCACAGAACAATTCCATGATGATTTGAAGATTTTTGAGTCAAAACTACATTGTTCTGCTATGTGTTTTGGGGCAAATTTATACCTACAATTGCTTAAATATTTCAGATGATACAAGAATATATATGTGGGGTAAAAAGCTGAAATTTGCATTCCCTCTTCTCTAGAAGTAACCATTGTGAATAGTTAAGTCTGTGTTTCAGCTATTTTGTATATAAATACACAGTGAATATATGAGTGTATATATACATATATGTTACACAAACACGTTTTTAGAGATGGAATATTGCTGTGTTGCCCACACTGGTCTCAAACTCCTGGGCTCAAGTAGTCCTCTCGCCTCGGCCTCCCAAAGTTTTGGAATTACAGGCGTGAGCCACCGCGCCTGGCCTGCATGAGTATATTTACTAATTGCTAAGTTACTCTGTTCAGTATGTATCTGTTGAACTCCTCCATGTGCCAAGCATTGTTCTGAATACCTTATGTGCACTAATTCACTTAATTTTTAGAGCAGCTCTATTATTGTGACCCTTTTACAGTGAGGAAACGGAACCACAGAGAGGCTGGGGACGTCGTCTAACATCACACAGCCAGTGCTGTTGGAATTGAGGTTTGAACCCAGACAGCTCGCTTCAGATCTCTTAGCTGTTATCATAGACGGCACACCCAAACCTTAGGGCCACCTCCCAAGCCTTGCCTCCAATACGGGCTGGCCTGAGCTCTGCGAGAGCCATGTATGTGAGGTTTCTTTCCTCTTTAAGAACACAAGTCTTGGAATTGTCCCAGACCCTGGTAGGACCTCTTGAGGACCAAAAGCAGGGATTCTTCAAGCCTGCCCCAAGGGCCAGATCTCTGATTTAGCTACTTGGAAGGTAGACGTGGAAGAGAGTAATTTTGCCAAAACAAAAAGTCAGGATGGCTGGGCTGACTGGGCCAGACACGGTGGCTCACGCCTGTAATCCCAGCACTTTGGGAGGCCGAGGCAGGTGGATCACCTGAGGTCGGGAGTTCAAGAGCAGCCTGGCCAACAAGTTGAAACTCCATCTCTACTAAAAATATAAAAATTAGCTGGGCGTGGTGGCGGGCGCCTGTAATCCCAGGTACTTGGGAGGCTGAGGCAGGAGAGTTGCTTGAACCCTGAAGGCGGAGGTGGCAGTGAGCTAAGATTGTGCCTCTGCACTCCAGCCTAGGTGACAGAGCGAGACTCCGTCTCAAAAAAAAAAAAAGGAAGGGGAATGGCTGGACTGACTCATCCTAGGGAAGAGGCCCTACAGCAGCCGTAGGACCTCGGCCACTTGGGTGGAAAAGAAGGAAGGAAGAGCTTCACCCATGGTGGTGACCTGGACTGCAGAAACCACACTAAACAGTCCACATTCTGGAGCCTGGCCACCCCATTTGCTTCTCTTCTCCTTCGGTAGAGGGTGTGGGGAACTTTCTACCCTGGAGGCTGAGCAGCACAGCTTCTAACCAGGGTAGACATTTGTCTGTCCCTGGGAATACAAACTTCTCATAACCAGCCCAAATACTCCTGAACGGCTTTTTGTAGGGTGGGGCGGGGCGGGGCAGAGGGTCATTTTGACTCATAGGTACCTTTTCCACTTTCACTGCTGATAACTGTGTTACAGATTAAAGTTTTGTTTTTGATACTGAAGGGGGCTTAAGAGAGTGAGATATTATGGCACATCTAAGTCTGCTAAAATAGAACCGTGGGGTAGTGCAGGAAAATCTCTTCTAAATTATGGATCATATATGGTGAACGTTAGAAGCCATGTGTACCTAAGTTGAAAAATCAAAACATGTCTTATATTTGGGTGACCCCGGTAAGTCTGGATACCACTGCGCCTTGTGTGAACACAGGATGCTGAGGTGTAGGGATCAACAGGCTTTTTCTGGATGTCTTGCGCTTCTCCCTTGGGGTAAAGTGGGGCGGCAGTAGGAGCGCACAGCTGTTGGGCCCCTAATATTTGTCAACTGTTTGGGATTCCATTTAATGCAATCTTGGAGGTAAAATTATTTTATTGAAGCTGAAGATAGAGGTTTAGAGAAGTTAAGAAAATTGTTCAAGGTCACGTCATTTCTTTTTTTTCTTTCTTTTTTTTTTTTTTTGAGACAGAGTTTCGCTCTTGTTGCCCAGGCTGGAGTGCAATGGCGCGATCTCGGCTCACCAAAACCTCTGCTTCCCAGGAGTAATTTTTACCCAGTAAGAAATGTATCCTAGTTATTGTCTTCCTGAGCTCCTCCACCTTTTCCTCTTAAATTTGCAATTTCTGATGTTCCTATAGGGCATGGAATCTGATGGGTTGGTCCATAAATATTGACAAAACAGAAAGAAGAAAAATGAAAGAAACAAGCTTACCACTTCACCTTATGTGTGAACCTAAAACTCAGTCGTACAATATTTCTCTTTACCGGCATAAGATGGAAAGAGAGAATTAAATAAGCCCTTTTAAAATTCTTAGGCACTCCTTATAATGTCTCAGGTGAGTCCCTGAGGATGAGCTGGAGTTGTTTGCAATACCTACCTCGTACTTTGCACCTTTAAAACACACACACACACACACACACGCACACACGCACACACACACACACACTCTCCCAGACTCTCAGGCCTCAACCAGAACCTCACACACACACACACACACTCCACCACCCACACACCCACACACACATCTCCAGACTAGGCCTCACCAAACCACACACACACACACACCCCCAACCCCCCACCCCCACACCACACACCACACCCCCCCCCCCCCCCCCCCCCCCCCCCCCCCACCACACACACACACTCTCCCAGACTCTCAGGCCTCAACCAGAACCTCACACACACACACACACACACTCCTCAACCAGAACCTCACACACACACACACACACACACACACCACACACCCCCACCTCACCCACCAAAACACACACACACACACACCCACACACACACACCTCCTCTCTCTCTCTCTCTCTCTCTCTCTCTCCCAGACTCTCAGGCCTCAACCAGAACCTCAGTATTGGGTTTCATGGAGTCCGGCTTTTTAAGTTGCTCCGAAAACTGCCCACAGCATTTGCCTTGGTGGATGGCACTGGGGATATGAAACAGAAATGGAAAGGAAATTGAAATGTTTCCTGTGATCTTTTGTACCTTTTGAATTTCACACCTTTTAATTTTAATTAAAACCACATGCATGTATTACCAATATAAGGTATTAATTGATTAGCTATCATTCAGTATCAGCTCAGAATGCTCTTCAGTTACTTCTGTGTAATTATATAGACATAATTGTGAAGAATTATTTTTTTAAAAAAGGAATACTGACTGAGAGTCTAAGTTAACCCAGTGGTGACACTCGGAGCTGGAACTACTAGATATTCACATAGAAAAACATGGACCTCAGTCCCCTCTCACACCACCTGCAAAAGGAATTCAAGATGTGTCATAGGCCCCCATAAAAGAGCCAGAACCATAAGGCTTCTAGAAAAAAAGAAGGAACTGTCCTTACAACTTAGGGTGGACACAGATTTCTTGGAGATGGTGCAAAAAACACTGGCTGGACGTGGTGGCTCACGCCTGTAATCCCAGCACTTTGGGAGGTGGAGCCGGGAAGATTGCTTTAGCCCAGAGGTGTGAGATTAGCCTGGGCAACAGAGACAAACCTCATCTCTAACAAAAAATAAAAGGTAGCCGGATGCAGTGGTGCATGCGACCATGGTCCCAACTACTTGGGAGCCAGAGGCAGGAGGATCAGTTGAGCCCAGGAGGTCAAGGCCGCAGTGAGCAGTGACTGTGCCACTGCACTCAATCAAGCCTGGGGGACAGAGTGAGATCTGTCAAAAACAAAACCAAAAAAGAAAAAGCCACTATTGGTAAAACAAAAAATTGATAAATTGGACTTCATTAAATTTTGAAATGTTCTGCTTACCAAATAACAATCCAACAAAATGGAATAGGTAAGCTACACACTGGGGGAAATATTTGCAGAAAACATATCTGAAGCAGCATCTTTAGAGAACTTCTGAAAGTTAACAATACAGGTGCCCACTACCATGCCTTGCTAATTTTTGTCTATTTTTTAGTAGAGACGGGGTTTCACCATGTTAGCCAGGATGGTCTCAATCTCCTGACCTCATGATCCGCCTGCCTCAGCCTCCCAAAGTGCTGGGATTACAGGCGTGAGCCATCGCGCCAGCCGGATAATTTTTTTTTTTTTTTTTTTGAGATGGAGTCTCGCTCTGTCACCCAGGCTGGAGTGCAGTGGCCGGATCTCAGCTCACTGCAAGCTCCGCCTCCCGGGTTCACGCCATTCTCCTGCCTCAGCCTCCCGAGTAGCTGGGACTACAGGCGCCCGCCGCCACGCCTGGCTAAGTTTTTGTATTTTTAGTAGAGACGGGGTTTCACCGTGTTAGCCAGGATGGTCTCGATCTCCTGACCTCGTGATCCACCTGTCTCGGCCTCCCAAAGTGCTGGGATTACAGGCTTGAGCCACCGCGCCCGGCCCGGATAATTTTTTTAAAGGAAAATAAGTGTTGACAAGAAATTGTAACTGTGATACATTGCTGGTAGAAATGCATAAAGTTGCAATCACTGTGAAAAACAGTTTGCAGTTGCTCCAAAGGTTAAACATAGAACTACCATTGGACCCAGGAATTCTACTACTAGATATATAACAAAAAGAATGGCAAACAGAACTCAAACAGATATTTGTACACTAACATTTACAGCATCACTATTCCACAAGAGCCAAAAGATGGAAATAATCCAACTATCAATGAACAAATGAATGTATAAAAACAAGGTGGTACATACATGCAATTGTACATCATCCATCTTTAAAAAACAATTTTGATACATGGTATGATGCGGATGGACACTGAAAACATTATGCCTAATGAAATAAGCCAGAAACAAAAGGAATATATTGTATGATCCTACTAAAATCAAGTGCCTAGAATAATCAAATTCATACGCAGAGAAGATGGGATACAAATCACTATGGGCTGGTGCTAATCAGTCTTGTAAGGTGCAGTTGGAAACTGGGGACATGGCAGCACCCGGCCCAGCACTCGGCCTTTTGGACACTGATGGGACCCTTAAGCTGTTCATTTGTCTACAAAACACTGCCCTGATTAAACTGCCAAAAATGTCATGCAGAATTTGTATGTTAATTCTGACATTTTGTTATTACAAGTGTTTTTCTCCCTTAAAATTTGTCTTGGTTACTGATAAAAGTATACAACTACTAATGCTGTTTTCAGCTATGTTGCCAAGCACATTTATATAAAAATATATTCTTAATTATTTTGAGGATTTGACAAAGACAATAACAATAATAATCTCATTTGCTTTATACTAATCTTTACACGTGTTACTTTATTCATTTCTTACATGCTGGGGCTTACCATACAGTGTACAGTGAAATTGGTACTATGCAGCATGGTAGGAATGTACATTGGCACAGCTAATTTAGAAGACAGCTTTCTTGTTTCTAAAAAAAAATTAAATTTGAACTTACCATTTGGTCCAGCAAATCCACACCCAGGAAATGCTCCAAGTGAACTGAAAGCATATTCTCCAAAGTCATTTGTACAGACATGTGTCTCTCAATGACAGTGACGTGTTCTGAGAAATGCATCATTAAGTGATGTAGTAATTACACAGACATCATAGTGTGTGCTTACATAAACCTAGATGGCAAAGGCCCCTATACACCTAGACTGTATGATACAGCCAATTGCTCTGGGCTTCAAACTGTACATCATGTAACTGTACTGAATACTGCAGGCAAAGGTTACAAAACAGTCTAAAATCTAAATATAGAAAAGCTACAACAAAATATGGTATACGATATAAAAATTAGTACATCTGTATAGAGCACTTTACCATGAACAGAACTTACAGGACATTGCTCTGCGTGATTCGGTGAGTGAATGGTGAGTGGACGTGAAGGCTTAGGACCTTACTGTACACTACTATAGACTTTATAAACATTGTATCTTTAGACTACTTTAAATTTATATGAATATATTTTTATTTATTCAACACTTAACTTTAGCCTACTGTAACATTTAAAATGTATAAACTTTAAAAATTTAAAAAACAACTCTTGTAATACCACTTATCTTAAAACATAAACATATTGTATAGCTGTGCAAATTTTTAAAATATTATTCTATATTTTTTCTACTTTAAAATTTAAGTTTTAAATTTTAAACTTTTTTTGTTAACAGCTGAGGCTCAGACACACACATCAGCCTAGACCTACACGGGATCAGGATCATCAACGTCAGTGTCTTCCGACTCCACATCTTGTCCCACTGGAAGGGGCAGAAACACACACGGAGCTGTCATCTCTTATGATAATAACACCTTGCGTACATCCTGAAAGACCTACTTGAGGCTGTTTTACAGATAAGTGGTTTTCTTTAACATGCAGATAGAATATATTCTCAAAGAATTATAAAAAGTATAGTACAGTAAATACATAAACCAGGAACACAGTCATTTATTTTCACTACCAAGTATTATATACTCCACATAGTTGTATGTTCTATATAGTACTTTAACATAACTGGAAAACCAGTAGATTTCTTTCCATCAGCATCATCACTGATGCCTGTGTAATGTGTTACACTACACACTTGTGACAGCTACAAGACACTAGGTGATAGGACTTTTTAAGCTCTAGTATAATCCTATGGGACTGCCATCAGACACGCTATCCATCATTGACCAGAATGTTATTATATATTACATGACTGTATTATGAATGCTCAAAGCAGCATTATTCATAATACAAAAACCAGAAATAATTAAATGTCCATCAACTGATGAATGAATAAACACTTTATATATCCACACAATGGACTATGAATCTATGAAAAGGAAAACACATGACCGGCACATGCTAAAGTATCAATTAACTTCAAAAATAGTATCTAAATGAAAGAAGTCAGACTCCCAATATAATATGTTGCATGATTCCATTTCTGTTACACAGATGGGAAATTTATACAGACAGAGTATCAGAGCAGTATTGCTTAGGGCTGGAGATGGGAGTAGGGATGGACATGGGCAGGAGGGGACTTCAGCGAGAGAAATATTTTTAAGTGAGATCATGGTGATGGTTGCACACAGTGTCAATTTAATAAATAATCAATTATATACCTTTATAGTTGGGTGAACTTTATGATAGGTTCACACCCAATATGGTGTGTACACCATGCAATAATGTTATGGAAATTCTTACCTGGTTTTTAACCAGCCAAGATATATGCTGTTTAAGCAACATTAATTCAGATGGTTGCGATAAGTCATTTCAAGTTTATGAAGTAGTTGTCCTATAAATATATGGCGAATGTTATTCCATGAGTTTCCTGTATCTATTGCAATAATCATATTTTTTCTCTATTAACCTCTTATGGTGGCTAATTTTATTTATTGCATTTACAATGTTAATCTACCATGTCATATTTTGAAATCATATTGGTCAGAATTTATGGTATTTTTATACATCACATACTTCAATTTACCTTATCTGATTTTAGTTTTGAAGCTATGTTGCCATTTTATTTAATTCCACAGTATAGGATTTTCTAAATTATAGAAAATTATTAAGTCCTCCTTGAATTTTTTTTTTAGAACTTACTTCTAGGAATTTATATGAGGTACAGTCCATAAAGAATTGTTTTAATTCCTCATACATGTCTTCAATGGGTATAGAATTGGTCATACTTTTCTGCTTGGATTTCAACATGAAACTTACCTCTTATCTCCTTGGCAGGTAGGCAGACGTGACTCTCCCCATTTTCTAAATGGAGACTGTGGGCAAATGCAGGTAAGTTCTTGGGGTATGTGAAGGGACCTCTCTTGCTCTCAAAAGACAACCTACGAAGGAGGGCAGTGCCACAACAGAACTGCTATTGATGCCACCTCAGTTAGATTCCAGAACAGATATTTACCTGTAGACAACCGAGGTGTAGGAAAACAGTGAAGCACCCAGCACCCAGCAGAGAAAGCAATGCCTGGGGACAGGGAGGCACTGATTGTGGCAAGGGGAAAAAACAGCTGCCAGAAGGCTGTTCACACAAGGGTCTCAGGCGGCACAGACACCCACACCTGCCGAGGGGGTCTGGTTTTCATAAAGGATATGGCTCGGCCAGGCTACCAACAAGCAGTTAATAAACAGTAATATGACACTTTCCAAAGACCTTACGTGAGTAATGCGTTGATCCTCACAAATTTCCAAACAGGATGGTAGTACAATGCCTCCTGAACAGGGTGAAGAAACTGATCCACGAGGTCATGGAGCCTGCCTGTGGTCACATGGGATGGGTGCAGAGCTGACGCTGGGCCTTCCGCCGGGACTGAGTGCCATCTTCTGAGCTCTGTCTACTGAGTGCCTCTGTCCTGTCTGCTGACCATGGGTCAGAGGTGCAGACTGCACCGGGGAGTAAAAATGTCACCTTCTCAATGTTGGGAAAACTCCCTGCCAGAACTGCCAATGGCCCTTTCCAAGCAGTGGGCAAGCTCAGACTAAAGAAGGAGGCGGCAGACCACGTCAGCCTGGCAGATTGCCAAAGATTCATTCAAGGAGAACCCACATCCTGGGCCATCCTGGGTGATGGCAAGATAAGGTAGATCACTGCTTTTGCAATGCTTCCCTGTCCAGCCTTTTCTACCATGAAAAGAAAAGGGAACAGGGAAAAAAAGAAACAAAAGTCACTGTTGGGCTCGCTAACTCATCTGGCTACTTTCTTAATCTATTTGCTTTCTGCCTGAAAAGGTTGTTTGGGTTTCCTACAATCTGGTTGACATTTCTAAGGTAAGGACAGTGTTCCAGGCAGCAGCAGTTAGCTTGGTCCTTAGGTCACTGTTTTGGTGAAGATTTGCAGGTGTATCTGCCACTGTAGTGAAGAACTGCTTTGGGTAGTGTCTGGAGAAATGTTTTAAAGGACATAGTTAAAACATTGTGCTATAAACCAACACTTGAACGCCAACTGTTTTGTCCTACCCCTCTGTCACAGGGGAGGGGGCTGTGTTCTTGGCAAAGGTCATCTCTCTGTCATGATTCTGGATCTCCTTCTGTTCTCCTGATTATCTGCCACTCAGTTATCCCCACTCTCTCCCACAACTTTAACCTTGGCTTCTCTATTTTAGGAGCCTCTTCTCTCAGGCTCAAGGCTCTCCTGTCCTCCACCGTTCCTCCCTCCACCCCAAACACCCTTCCAGCATGTGTCCCAGCTGATCTATCCTTTAGCCAAACTTCCTCAGAAGAGGCCTCACCCTGCCGTCCCTGCCCATCTCCTCTCTGATTCACTCGTCAACTCCATATCTGATTTCCAGTTTCTTTTCCTTGCCTGTTGTGACTTCCTGTGGACGTGGCCAAAAACCACATAGTCCTCCTGTTGTGCAGCATCCCCTCAATCTTGAGATGTCCTCTCCCTCAGTTCCTACGTCACCACACATACCTGGCTTGGCTTTTCTCTCTAGTCCTTCCTTCCCTGTCTCCTGTGGACTCCTTGTCTGCTCTCCCCGCGTCAGTGTCCTCACAGGGGCTTCCTTCCCTTCTCAGCCGACACCATCACCTGGGGGATCACGCTCACCTGGCAGCCTGGGGCCTCTCTATCTCTGTGCTGGTCATGCCCACGTCTGAGCTGCAGACCCACAGGCACTTCCACTTGTGCATCCCATGCCCAGCACACACGTCTCCTGTCTCAAACGCAGCTGTTCAGCCCCACCTCACCCCTCAGACAAGTTCCTCCCTGTGGATCACCTTTTTCATTAATTAGCACTGTGTTGCCCAAATCAGAAACCTGGAAGTGATCTAGACTCCTCACACATCCAGTCAATCAGTTACCACATTTATTGATTCTGTCTGCTAAATATACCTCGATAATATTTACTTACATATATTCATATGTCTCCTTCTCCACTGCATTTTTTATTGTGGGCCACATTTACCCTTCAGGTAACAACAACACCGGCCACTCTGGCCCTTCCAGTCAGAAGTGCCAAAACAACTGTTCTAAGGTGCAAATCTGATCACATTACTCCTCTGGGTGAAACCTTGCAATGGCTTCCTGTTGATCTTAGAATACTGCCTGGCCACCTGTCTTCAGAGGTCCCCGTCACCAGCCCTCTGCAGACTTTTCACTCACACTCCATGCTCTAGTTGTGGGGATCACTTCAGTTCCTGGAGTTCCTTTTCTCTGTCCCACTGCTCCCCTCAATACGCTATCTGCCTTTCTTGGAACACCGGTCCCTCTTCCTTCCCCACCTCCCCAGGTAATTGGGTTTGTCTTTCAGGTCTTGCCTTACATGTCACTTTCTCCAGGAAGCTCCCCTGGCCTCTCAAATTTGGGTCAAAAATGTCACCTGGATGGAATTTCCACCCATTCTAATGCTTCTAATGCTCATGTGGATCATTCTATTGGCACGCCTCTGTCTCATGGTGCAATGAAAGTTGTGTGGCAGCAAGGTCAGGCTTTCTTGGCTCTCATGAAAGCACATTCCTGCCTATGTGTCTGGCTCCCAGGATGATCTCAATACATTTTGGTGGACAGGAAAAAATGAAAGGACAGGGGGAAGAAAACAACCAGCCAAAGTCTAAGAGCCTATGGCTGGGCTACAGCAAAGTCTTGGCATGTTCTACAATGCATGTCGCCACATTGGCGGAAACACACAACTGCCTCTTCTGTTCAAAGATGACCCTTACGGGAAACAGATGGAAGTTTCTCCCCATGTGCAGGTAAAGACACAAGCACCGATGTCATAGCTGCCACCCTCTCCTCTCACTGCTGCCCATGCCCAGCTGGTGCTGAGGGGACATCTCAAACTGTTGTGACTCCATGGCCCCCAAAGCCACGGAGCTCAGAGCTGCTCCTTAAGGAATGTCCTCCCCATTTCCTTCTCCCTGGCTCCTCTCCTTGCTGTGTCCACTGGTGCCTCCTCCTGTGGCTTCTCAAACATCATCCTCTGTGCCTCACTGTTTCAAACTTTACTTTCCCCATAGAATGTTCTTTTCCACATGCGTCACTGGATGCTCATGAGAAGGCTGATGGGGTAATTTTTTGTCAGGACAAATAAACTGTATAAAACCTACCTGAAGCACACTAGCACTTCTGAAATAAAGGTTAAATATTTTGTAGCCCTGTGGAGTCAGATTCATGGTAGAAATATGTACATGTGTGTCCCATTTTTGCAGCTTTTTTTCAGAAATTTAATGTCCCATATAAGCCAATGTTCCAGGTACCTGAAGTTAAGCTCATAACTGCTGGACTCATTTTAACTATTTTAGTTAACATCCTTCAAAAACCTTTACATCATTTTCCTACCTTCTTAGACCATACGAAAACCTAGTTATATTTTTTCATGACAATGAAGAGTCATCTTAATAGCTGTAAGTAGATCATGATATAAAGATGTCATGCTTTCAAAGTTTACAAAGGCAGGACGGACTAAATTATACAAGATCATTATGCTTTTACAACCACAGGACTGTCAGAAGATCATTTCTCACAGCACTATTTCTGCCCACTCTTCTCTAGATGGTCAAGTTTGTTTAAAATGTTGTTAAACACAAGAGTTATTGATTCACATCGGTAAGTTGCAGTAGGCAAGGCCTTTTGCTTTCCTGACCCTGAAGTCAGAGGCTGTGTTAGCCACACCCTTCTGGGGGCTACTTCTCAACTATGCTCTAGATGGCAGGCAGGGGAAGCTGGACAAGCAACTCCAATGTGTTATGTGGTATTTCCAAGTTCTGGCTCAGAAAGTTGAACTTTACTGAACTTTCAAATGTAGCAACTATTTTTGCTGTAAAGCCATAACAACTGAGTGTGCTCTGTTTTGTTTTTTAAAAATTTCTGTGGGATAAAGTTGTACAGAGATTTTTAAGGTTCTATGTTTAATTTTAATTTTCAAACATAGATTTTAACTACTTTTTTGCAATTATGATTAGAATGCACTCTCAAACACGTTACAGAAAGTTTAGTCCATTGAGAGATCTCTATTAGAGTAACTTAGAGGTTTACTCAGTTTGGGTGCATGCTTTGGAGGACACCTTGTCCTGCCATTTAGGTTTAATTTAAAATCCTGCTTAATTTTATTTTCTTTTTTGAGAAGGAGTCTCGCTCTGTCACCGAAGCTGGAGTGCAGTAGCACAAGCTCAGCTCACTGCAACCTCTGTCTCCTAGGTTGAAGTGATTCTTCTGCCTCAGCCTTCCGAGTAGCTGGGATTACAGGCATGCACCACCATGCCCGGCCAGTTTTTCTATTTTTAGTAGAGATATGGCTTCACCATGTTGGCCTGGCTGGTCTTGAACTCCTGACCTCAAGTGATTCATCTACCTTGGCCTCCCAAAGTACAGGGGTTACAGGTGTGAGCCACCGTGCCTGGCCTAAAATCCTGTTTAATTTTTAATTAAAGAGTATCCTGAGATTGAAAAGTGAATTATTGGGGGAGAATACAATTTGCAACTTCCTCACTATGTGTGCATAAGTTTCCTCCACGCTAGGCAAAAACAAATTCTATTTAGATGCTAATGAACTTTACTTGCCCATTCCACTAATTTTGAATCACCATTTCAGGAAAATAAATTATTCTCACCATTTGACTTTACAATCTGAAAATCCTGGGGCCCCAGCCTGGTCATGCCTGCTTGCAGGGCAGCCTTGGGTCATAACTTCTGTGCTGGTGGACCCTGCCTTACCGGAAGATGGCTCCAGCACAGGAGGCTCCCACAGCAAAGCATCAGCCCACATACTCCCTCCCCAAACTGTAGCTTAGCCTGGGCCCACAGCAACTCCCCACGTCACTTGGTTGGAGCATGTCTGTGGGGGCAGGTTTTGCTTTCCTTGTCCCACCCACACACATGTGTGCATACACCCCACCCTGTTACTGTTGCACCAAGAGTGCAGTCCGCCCCCTCCCCCGGCGGACCACCATTGTAGAAAAAGCCTTGGTGGGCACAGAGCCAGCGAGCTCCACTCCCACCACCAGTGCCCTGCCCTCGTGCCAACACTGCCTTGGGAGTGAAACTAGGTACAGAGAACAGCAGATCGTCTCCTGCCCTAAGCTACCACTCCTGCTCATGCAATACAGAGAAGGCACAGACCTGTGCCCGCCAGTGCCCCCAAGGCAACACCATCACCAATGCAACCACATACACAGTCGCCAGCAGCAGCCCCCTGCCCTTCCCTGAGCTGTGTTGCCTCTGCCACTGTGGTGAATGCCCACAGGGGGCAGGCATGCTGGCACCCACTAGCACCCTGCTGCAGTTGATGAGTGTGCACCCCACTATACTGCTGCTACTGCTGCTGGCACTGCACTATAAAACTCTTTGGCTGACACCACCCATTGGAGTGTAGTGACCAACATTCTGTGAGCACCTCAGACCCTCCCAGAACAGTGAATTCTTAACCTCAGGGAGCTAGAGAACAAAGTCTGGCCCAATACAAGTTCCCCAGAGTTAACACAGCTAGTTCAGGAGTTGGGAGTTGAATATTGGCCCCATAAAATCTTCCAGAAATGAAGCCAGTGGGCTGAAGCCACCTTATACCACACTCAAACCCTTAAGATTATCAATGAGGATAAAAGGAAAAAAATGAAAGGTCAGCAGCCTCAAAGATTGAAGGAAAATAAGCCCATAAAGATGAGAAAGGACCAGTGAAAGAACCATGACAACTCAAAAAGTCAGAGTACCTTCCTTCCTCCAGATGACCTCATTACCTCTCCAGCAAGTGTTCTGGACTAGGCTGAAATAGTTGAAATGACAGAAACAGAACTCAGACTATGGATAGCAACGAAAACCATTGAGCTACAGGAGTATGTTGAAACCTAATCCAAGGACTCTAGGAATCACAATAAAACAATGCAGGAGCTGACAGACAAAATAGTCAGTATAGAAAAGAATGTAACTGACCTGATAGAGCTGAAAGGCACATTAAAAGAATTTCATAATGCAATCCCAAGTATTAATAGCAGAATAGAACAAGTGGAGGAAAGTATCTCATAGCTTGAAGACTGGCTTCTGAAATAAGATAGTCAGACAAGAACAGAAAAAACAAGAATAAAAACGAATGAACAAAACCTCTGAAAAAATGGGATTATGTAAGGAGACCAAATCTATGACTCACTGGTGTCCCTGAAAGAGATGAAGAGAATGGAAGGAACTTGGAAAACATATTTCAGGATATTATCCATGAGAACTTCCCCAACCTAGCTAGAGAGGCCAACATTAAAATACAGGAAATGTAGAGAATGCCAGTCAAGATACCTCACAGGAAGACCAACCAAAATACACATAATTATCAGATATTCTCCAAGGTCGAAATGAAAGGAAAAATGTTAAAGGCAGCTAGAGAGAAAGGTTAGGTCACCTACAAAGGGAAACCCATCTGACTAATGATAGGCCTTTCAGCCAGAAGCCCTACAAGCCAAAGAGATGTGAAAACCAATATTCAACATTTTTAAAGAAAAGTATTTCCAACCCAAAATTTCATACCCAGCCAAACTAAGCTTCATAAATAAAGGAGAAATAAGATCCTTTTCAGATAAGCAAATGCTGAGAGAATCTGTCACCACCAGACCTGCCTTACAAGAGCTCCTGACAAGAGCACTCAATATGAAAAGATTGTTACCAGCCACTACAAAACACAATGATGTACACAGACCAGTGATATTACAAAGCAACCACAAAAACAAGTCTGCAAAATAACCAGCTAACATCATGATAACAGGATTAAATTCATAAATATTAATACTAACCGTGAATATAAATGATCTAAATGCCCTACTTAAAAGGCACAGAGGGGCAAGGTGGATAAAAAAGCAAGACCCTGGCCGGGCGCGGTGGCTCAAGCCTGTAATCCCAGCACTTTGGGAGGCCGAGGCGGGCGGATCACAAGGTCAGGAGATCGAGACCACAGTGAAACCCCGTCTCTACTAAAAATACAAAAAATTAGCCAGGCGCGGTGGCGGGCGCCTGTAGTCCCAGCTACTCAGGAGGCTGAGGCAGGAGAATGGCGGGAACCCGGGAGGCGGAGCTTGCAGTGAGCCGAGATTGCGCCACTGCACTCCAGCCTGGGCAACAGCGTGAGACTCCGTCTCAAAAAAAAAAAAAAAAAAAAAAAAAGCAAGACCCATTGGCATGCTGTCTTCAAGAGACCCATTTCACATGCAATGACACACATAGGCTCAAAATAAAGGGATGGAGAAAAATCGACCAAGCAAATGGAAAACAGAAAAAAGCAGGGGTTACAATCTGAGTTTCAGGCAAAACAGACTTTAAACCAACATAGATCAAAAAGTACAAAAAGACATTGTCAGCAGGAGGTTCCAAGATGGCCGAATAGGAACAGCTCCAGTCTACAGCTCCCAGCGTGAGCAACAAAGAAGACAGGTGATTTCTGCATCTCCAACTGAGGTACTGGGTTAATCTCACTGGGGCTTGTCAGACGGTGGGTGCAGCCCACGGAGCATGAGCCGACGCAAGGTGGGGCATTGCATCACCCGGGAAGCACAAGGGGTTGGAGAATTCCCTTTCCTAGCCAAGGGAAGCCATGACAGACGGTACCTGGAAAATCGGGACACTCCCACCCTAATACTGTGCTTTTCCAATGGTCTTAGCATATGGCACACCAGGAGGTTATATCCCACGCCTGGCTTGGAGGGTCCCACGCCCACAGAGCCTCAGTCACTGCCAGCACAGCAGTCTGAGATCAAATTGCAAGGTGGCAGTGAGGCTGGGGGAGGGGCATCTGCCATTGCTGAGGCTTGAGTAGGTAAACAAAGCTGCTGGGAAGCTCGACCTGGGTGGAGTCCACCACAGCTCAAGGAGGCCTGCCTGCCTGCCTCTGTAGACTCCACCACTGGGGGCAGGGCATAGCTGAACAAAAGGCAGCAGAAACTTCTGCAGACTTAAACATCCCTGTCTGACAGCTTTGAAGAGAGTAATAGTTCTCCCAGCATGGAGTTTGAGATCTGAGAAATGGACAGACTGACTCCTCAAGGGGGTCCCTGACCTCTGAACTAGCCTAACTGGGAGGCACCTCCCAGTAGGGGCCGACTGCCACCTTATATGGCCAGTTGCCCCTCTGACAGCAAGCTTCCAGACGAAGGATCAGGCAGCAACATTTGCCGTTCTTCAATATTTGCTGTTCTGCAGCCTCCGCTGGTGATACCCAAGCAAACAGGGTCTGGACCTCCAGCAAAATCCAGCAGACCTGCAGCTGAGGATTCTGACTGTTACAAGGAAAACTAAGAAACAGTTAGGACATCCACACCAAAACTCCATCTGTACGTCACCATCATCAAAGACCAAAGGTAGATAAAACCATAAAGATGGGGAGAAAGCAGAACAGAAAAGCTGAAAATTCTAAAAATCAGAGTGCCTCTTCTCCTCTAAAGGAATGCAGCTTCTCGCCAGCAATGGAACAAAGCTGGATGGAGAATGATTTTGACAAGTTGAGAGAAGAAGGCTTCAGACGATTGGTAATAACGAACTTCTCCAAGATAAAGGAGGATGTTCGAACCCATCACAAAGAAGCAAAAAACCTTGAAAAAGGATTAGACGAATGCTAACTAGAATAAACAGCATAGAGAAGACCTTAAATGAACTGACGGAGCTGAAAATCATGGCATGAGAACCACATGTCACATACACAAGCTTCAGTAGCCAATTCAATCAATTGAAATAAAGGGTACCAGTGATTGAAGATCAAATGAATGAACTGAAGCAAGAAGAGAAGTGTAGAGAAAAAAAAGTAAAAAGAAATGAACAGGCCGGGCGCGGTGGCTCAAGCCTGTAATCCCAGCACTTTGGGAGGCCGAGACGGGCGGATCACGAGGTCAGGAGATCGAGACCATCCTGGCTAACACAGTGAAACCCCGTCTCTACTAAAAAATACAAAAAACTAGCCGGGCGAGGTGGCGGACACCTGTAGTCCCAGCTACTCGGGAGGCTGAGGCAGGAGAATGGCGTGAACCCGGGAGACGGAGCTTGCAGTGAGCCGAGATCCGGCCACTGCACTCCAGCCTGGGTGACAGAGCGAGACTCCGTCTCCAGAAAAAAAAAAAAAAAAAAAGAGAAATGAACAAAGCCTCCAAGAAATATGGAACTATGTGAAAAGACCAAATCTACGTCTGATTGTTGTACCTGAAAGTGACAGGGAGAATGGAACCAAGTTGGAAAACACTCTGCAGGATATTATCCAGGAGAACATCCCCAACCTAGCAAGGCAGGCCAACATTCAAATTCAGGAAATATAGAGAATGCCACAAAGATACTCCTCAAGAAGAGCAACTCCAAGACACATAATTGTCAGATTCACCAAAGTTGAAATGAAGGAAAAAATGTTAAGGGCAGCCAGAGAGAAAGGTCGGGTTACCCACAAAGGGAAGCCCATCAGACTAACAGCAGATCTCTCAGCAGAAACTCTCCAAGCCAGAAGAGAGTGGGACCAATATTCAACATTCTTAAAGAAAAGAATTTTCAACCCAGAATTTCATATCCAGCCAAACTAAGTTTCATAAGTGAAGGAGAAATAAAATCTTTTACGGACAAGCAAATGCTGAGAGATTTTGTCACCACCAGGCCTGCCCCACAAGAGCTCCTGAAGGAAGCACTAAACATGGAAAGGAACAACTGGTACTAGCCACTGAAAAAACATGCCAAAATGTAAAGATCATCGATGCTAGGAAAAAACCGCATCAACTAACAAGCAAAATAACCAGCTAACATCATAATGACAGGATCAAGTTCACACATAACAATATTAACCTTAAATGTAAATGGGCTAAATGCTCCAATTAAAAGACACAGACCGGTAAACTGGATAAACAGTCAAGAACCATCAGGGTGCTGTATTCAGGAGACCCATCTCACATGCAGAGACACACATAGGCTCAAAATAAAGGGATGAAGGAAGATCTTCCAAGCAAATGGAAAACGAACAAACATAAAAGCAGGGGTTGCAATCCTGGTCTCTGATAAAACAGACTTTAAGCCAACAAAGATCAAAAGAAACAAGACGCCATTACATAATGGTAAAGGGATCAATTCAACAAGAAGAGCTAACTATCGTAAATATATATGCACCCAATACAGGAGCACCCAGATTCATAAAGCAAGTTCTTAGAGACCTACAAAGAGACTTAGACTCCCACACAAAAATGGGAGACTTTAACACCTCACTGTCAACATTAGACAGATAAATGAGACAGAAAGTTAACAAGGATATCTAGGACTTGAACTCAGCTCTGCAACAAGGAGACCTAACAGACATCTACAGAACTCTCCACCCCAAATCAACAGAATATACATTCTTCTCAGCACCACATGGCACTTATTCCAAAATTGACCACATAGTTGGAAGTAAAGCACTCCTCAGCAAATGTAAAAGAACAGAAATTATAACAAACTGTCTCTCAGACCATAGTGCAATCAAACTAGAAGTCAGGATTAAGAAACTCACTCAAAACCACCCAACTACATGGAAACTGAACAACCTGCTCTTGAATGACTACTGGGTACATAATGAAATGAAGGCATAAATAAAGATGTTCTTTGAAACCAGTGAGAACAAAGACACAACATACCAGAACCTCTGGGACACATTTAAAGCAGTGTATAGAGGGAAATTTATAGCACTAAATGCCCACAAGAGAAAGATCTAAAATTGACACCCTAACATCACAATAAAAAGAACAAGAGAAGTAAGAGCAAACACGTTCAAAGCTAGCAGAAGGCAAGAAATAACTAAGAGCAGAGCAGAGCTGAAGGAGATAGAGGCACAAAAAAAAAACCCTCAAAAAAACAATGAATCCAGGAGCTGGTTTTTTGAAAAGATCAACAAAATTGATAGACCGCTAGCAAGACTAATAAGAAAAGAGAGAAGAATCAAATAGACACAATAAAAAATGATAAAGGGGATATCACCCTTTATCACCACAGAAATACAATTCCATAGAAATATAAACTACCATCAGAGAATACTATAAACACCTCTACGCAAATAAACTAGCAAATCTAGAAGAAGAAATGGATAAATTCCTGGACACATACACCCTCCCAAGACTAACCTAGGAGGAAGTTGAATCGCTGAATAGACCAATAACAAGCTCTGAAACTGAAGCAATAATTAATAGCCCACCAACCAAAAAAAGTCCAGAACCAGATGGCTGAATTCTACCAGAGGTACAAAGAGGAGCTAGTACCATTCCTTCGCAAACTATTTCCATTAATAGAAAAAGAGGGAATCCTCCCTAACTCATTTTATGAGGCCAACATCATCCTGATACCAAAGCCTGGCAGAGACACAACATAAAAAGACAGTTTTAGACCAATATCCCTGATGAACATCGATGCAAAATCCTCAATAAAATACTGGCAAACTGAAACTAGCAGCACATCAAAAAGCTTATCCACCAAGATCAAGTTGGCTTCATCCCTGGGATGCAAGGCTGGTTCAACATACGCAAATCAAGAAAAGTAATCCATCACATAAACAGAACCAAAGACAAAAGCCACATGATTATCTCAATAGATGCAGAAAAGGGCTTCGACAAAATTCAACAGTGCTTCATCCTAAAAACTCCCAATAAACTAGGTATTGATGGAATGTATCTCAAAATAATATGAGCTATTTATGACAAACCCACAACCAATATCATACTGAATGGGGCAAAAACTGGAAGCATTCCCTTGGAAAACTGGCACAAGACAGGGATGCCCTCTCTCACCACTCCTATTCAACATAGTGTTGGAAGTTCTGGCCAGGGCCTAGAGAAAGAAATAAAGCGTATTCAATTAGGAAAAGAGGAAGTCAAATTGTCCCTGTTTGCAGGTGACATGATTGTATATTTAGAAAACCCCATCGTCTCTGCCCAAAATCTCCTTAAGCTGATCAGCAACTTCAGCAAAGTCTCAGGATACATAATCAATGTGCAAAAATCACAAGCATTCTTATACACAAATAACAGAGAGCCAAATCATGAGTGAACTCCCATTCACAATTGCTTCAAAGAGAATAAAATACCTAGGAATCCAACTTACAAGGGATGTAAAGGACCTCTTCAAGGGGAACTACAAATCACTGCTCAATGAAATAAAAGAGGACACAAACAAATGGAAGAACATTCCATGCTTATGCATAGGAAGACTCAATATCATGAAAATGGCTATACTGCCCAAGGTAATTTATAGATTCAAAGCCATCCCCATCAAGCTACCAATGACTTTCTTCACAGAATTGCAAAAAAACTACTTTAAGGTCCATATGGAACCAAAGAAGAGCCTGCATTGCCAAGACAATCCTAAGCAAAAAGAACGAAGCTGAAGGCATCATGCTACTTGACTTCAAACTATACTACAAGGCTACAGTAACCAGAAGAGCATGGTACTGGTACCAAAACAGAGATATAGACCAATGGAACAGAACAGAGCCCTCAGAAATAATGCCACACATCTACAACCATCTGATCTTTGACAAACCTGACAAGAACAAGAAATGAGGAAAGGATTCCCTATTTAATAAATGGTGCCCACCATGGAATACTATGCAGCCATAAAAAAGGATGAGTTTGTGTCCTTTGTAGGGACATGGATGCAGCTGGAAACCATCATTCTCAGCAAACTATCACAAGAACAGAAAACCAAACACCGCATGTTCTCACTCATAGGTGGGAACTGAACAATGAGATCACTTGGACTCGGGAAGGGGAACATCACACACCGGGGCCTATCATGGGGATGGGGGAGGGATTGCATTGGGAGTTATACCTGATGTAAATGATGAGTTGATGGGTGCTGACGAGTTGATGGGTGCAGCACACCAACATGGCACAAGTATACATATGTAACAAACCTGCACGTTATGCACATGTACCCTAGAACTTAAAGTATAATAATAATAATAATGATAATTAAAAAAAAAAAAGAAAATGGGAGGGTTAGTGAAGTTTTATGAAAGAGGACTTGAATTATAAAGGCAATGCAGATAAGAAAAACAATTCATCTTAGTATTCTGATTCAGTCTGTAACACCGTATTACATTTTCACTTTAAAAAAAAAAAAATGGTGCTGGGAAAACTGGCTAGCCATATGTAGAAAGCTGAAACTGGATCCCTTCCTTACACCTTATACAAAAATTAATTCAAGATGGATTAAAGACTTAAATGTTAGACCTAAAACCATAAAAATCCTAGAAGAAAACCTAGGCAATACCATTCAGGACATAGGCATGGGCAAGGACTTCATGACTGAAACACCAAAAGCAAAGGCAACAAAAGCCAAAATTGACAAATGGGATCTAGTTAAACTACAGAGCTTCTGCACAGCAAAAGAAACTACCACCAGAATGAACAGGCAACCTACAGAATGGGAGAACATTTTTGCAATCTACTCATCTGACAAAGGACTAATATCCAGAACCTACAAAGAACTCAATCAAATTTACAAGAAAAAACCAACCCCATCAAAAAGTGGGCGAAGGATATGAACAGACACTTCTCAAAAGAAGAGATTTATACAGCCAACAGACACATGAAATAATGCTCATCATCACTAGCCATCAGAGAAATGCAAATCAAAACCACAATGAGATACCATCTCACACCAGTTAGAATGGTGATCATTAAAGTCAGTAAACAACAGGTGCTGGAGAGGATGTGGAGAAACAGGAACACTTTTACACTGTTGGTGGGACTGTAAACTAGTTCAGCCATTGTGGAAGACAGTGTGGCGATTCCTCAAGGATGTAGAACTAAAAATACCATTTGACCCAGCCATCCCATTACTGGGTATATAACCAAAGGATTATAAATCATGCTGCTATAAAGACACATGCACATGTATGTTTATTGCAGCACTATTCACAATAGCAAAGACTTGGAACCAATCCAGATGTCCATCAATGACAGACTGGATTATGAAAATGTGGCACATATATACCATGGAATACTATGCAGCCATATAAAGGGATGAATTCATGTCCTTTGTAGGGACATGGATGCAGCTGGAACTATCATTCTCAGCAAACTATCGCAAGAACAGAAAACCAAATACCGCATGTTCTCACTCATAGGTGGGAAATGAACAATGAGAACACTTGGACACAGGAAGGGGAGCTTTGCACACTGGGACCTGTTGTGGGGTGGGGGGATGGCGGAGGGATAGCATTAGGAGATATACCTAATGTAAATGACGAGTTAATGGGTACAGCACCTTAACATGGCACATGTATACATATGTAACAAACCTGCACGTTGTGCACATGTACCCTAGAACTTAAAGTATAATTTTTAAAAAAAGGATACAAAAGATTAAACAAAAAGTTGTTTTTCTCAAAGGATAAACAAAATTGACAACCTTTAGCTAGATTAACAAAGAAAAAAAGGGAGAAGACCCAAGGTAATAAAATCAGAGATGAAAAAAAGACATTACAAGTAATACTACAGAAACTTAAAAGATTATTAGTGGCTACCATGAGCAACTATATGCTGCTAACTTGGAAAATGTAGGGGAAGAGGATAAATACCTAAGCACATAAATCTACAAAGATCGAATCATGAAAAATATCTACAACCTAAACTTACCAATAACAAGTAATGGGATCAAAGCCATAATAAAAAGTCTCCCAGTAAGGAAAAGCCGAGGCCCAATGGTTTCACTGCTAAATTCTACTAAACATTTAAAGAATTAATACCAATCCTACTCAAACCGTTTCAAATAATAGAGGAGGGAATACTTCCAAACTCATTCTATAAGGCCAGTATTAAACTGATACAAAAAGCAAAGAGGTATCAAAGAAAGAAAAGTATAGGACAATACCTGTGATATACATTGATATAAAAAATTTAAGAAACTATTAGAAACCAGAATTCAACAATACATTAAAAAGATCATTCATCATGACCAAGTGAAATTTATCCCAGGGATGCAAAGATGGTTCAACATATGCAAATCAATCAGCGTGATACATCGTATCAACAGAATAAAGGACAAAAACCATATGATCATTTCAATTGAGGCTGAGAAAGCATTTGGTAAAGTTCCCTTCAGCATCCCTTCATGAGAAAAACCCTGAAAGAACCAGGTATAAAAGGAACCTACATCAACATAATAAAAACCATGTATAACAGACCCACAGCTACTGAATGAAGACAAACTGAAAGCCTTCCCTCTAAGATGTGGAACATGGCAGAGATGCCTACTTTCACAACAGTTATTCAAAATGTTACTGGAAGTTCTGGCTAGAACAATTAGACAAAAGAAAGAAATAAAGTGCATCCAAATTGGAAAGGAAGAAGTCAAATTATCCTTATTTGTAGATGATATAATCTTGTCTTTGGAAAAACCTAAAGACTTAACACACAAACAAAAACCTATTAGAACTGACAAACAAATTGATTTAAGTTGCAGGGTGCAAAATCAATATACAAAACTCCATAGCATTTTTATATGCTGACAGCAAACAATCTGAAAAAGAAACCAAAAAGGTAACCTCATTTTCAATAGCCACAAATAAACTTACATACCTAAGTGTTAACCACAGAAGTGAAAGATCTCTATAATGAAAACTATAAAACACTGATAAGAAGAGAACATAAAAAATGGAAACATATTTAATGTTCTTGAATTGGAAGAATCAATGTTGTTAAAATATCCACACTACCCAAAGCAATCTACAGATTCAATGCAATCCCTATCAAAATACCAATGGCATTCTTCACAGAAAAACAAATTCTAAAATCTACATGGAGCCACAAAAGACCCGGAATAGCCAAAGCTATCCTACGTAAACAGAACAAAACTGGAAGAATCACATTTCCTGACTTCAAACTATGCTACAGAGATATAATAACCGAGAGAATGGTACTGGCATA